CTTGCTTTTATTTGTCAGTACAGAATATTGTAAATTAAAATATTACTACAATGCAATACGCGTAGTATTTCATCAGACATCTGCACTACATTATAAATACTGTACAGGGAAAACTACGGCTCAAATAATAGTAGATGTTTCTTGTTTTGTCAGGCTCACGTCGCAGCTCACGTCGACACGGCTTTTGAGTTTTGTAACCGGCCGAGACGAAAGTAAATCATGCAGTCGGAAAAACGTCTCATTTTGAAAGATTATTTTGCAAACATACTCGTACACATAAGAATCATAAAAATACAAATGTTGAATTGTTATTGTCAACTGTCAAGTTCAGTTATTTTTAGACAATATGGTGTTAGCCAATCAGAATGCAAAATTGACCGGCCCAGACCAGGGCTTCCTCGTGTCTCGCCTCGTCCTCACACTGAAGCCCTGGGAACGAGGTTGGAAGTTTGGTAAATCATTAATATAGACAAGAAAAGGTAGTGGCCCCAAATTCACGCTGGGAAAAAAAGACAGGAAATTGGGCCAAGTATTTATAACTTTCTGATCTTAGTTTGGAATATCACGAAACTTCCTCACAGGATAGAACTTGCCATTCCTAAAAATGACATTGATTTAATAAAGCAACTTAAGTAATTTTTGTTTTGATCGGACATCATAATTATCACCTGTAATGAATCTCTACTGCCTTGTTTTGAAGGTTTTTTTATTTACACTGACTGGTGTATTGATCGATTTATTGATCGATTGACATGTTTTAGAGGGTACTGAATGCGTGAAGAACTGTTTTCCAAACTACAGTCTTCTGGATCTGATCAATTCAAGCAATCCCAAAGTGCGTTTGGTAAATTCATCTAGCGGTAACGAAGGCCAGCTGATGGTACAACATGATGACCAATGGGGATACATATGTGAATTGACATCATGGCAAGTTAGGATCGTGTGTCAAGAATTAGGATTTGTTGATGGTGTCGCAACGGATTCCAAATATTTAAGAAATTGTAAGTTACTGGTAAATGTCAATTTATGTTAATCATGCAATGGGGACTTCCTGGCAAGGCCTATTTACAACTGAACAGGTTTTTTCGATAGACAATTAAAGTCCTGGTTGGGCAACGTAGTTGTTGTTTTGTTTCTGGTAACCGGACCAATTGTAAAAAGATGCTGCGACCACAAGTATTATTCGTACTTTTGAAAGTGGTTGTATGCCGTTATTTCAACTAAGGAACTGCTAACGTGCCTGGCGTGTGAAGCGCTAAGACCATCGTCCACCCTGGTTTTATTCATGTTTTCTCCTAGCAGTATCCGTCTTCTCAGTTCTGATCTTCGAGTGACATTTTAAATCCAAGATAATGTTACATACACTGCAATTTCATCCACTGGCGTGAAGTTTGTAAATAACTATTCAACGAAGCTGATAAAATGATGCAGTGAAATACACATATCGATCGAACGCGGTAGAACTCGCATGTATTTTATTGGTCACAATGAGCTTGCTTGCTTGATTCTGACGGCAAATGAAGCGAAAGACATCAAGTAACCACAATAAACTTATCTAAGGTCCTAAACACGTATCAAATACAAAATAATTGCATCAAACGGCTTGGAATATGCAAAGCGGAAGCAAAGTTAACAATAATATTTGGTTTACTTTTGCGATTCGTTCCCAGTCACTGGGTAAATAATCTGCAAACGAGGTGGAAATGAAGACCTAAGATATTTAGCTGTGATGAATTTTGTAGCGGTTTCCTAATAACTCTTCACTTTCACTTCCGCGAAATTTGTGAGTAAATTCTTGATCAGCAAACTGAGAAGAGTTTCCACTTGTTTGTGGCAGTATGTTAACAGATCATTCGTAGTGCATGGCATCACATTCGCGCTCGCTGATAACGTTTTTGAATTTGTGTACGAGAATTTGCTTCTTGTCCTTCGACTTAAAGTTAACTTCAAGGTGACAAAGAATGTTTTTAAGCATTGGAAATTGAAATCGGAAACCTTTTTTCTGTGACAATATTCACAAAGATCATACGTGTCGAGCGTAATAGGGTGCTTCAAGCCAAGTTCATGTCGATGCTCTTTGATTGATTCTTGTCGTTCGGAATCCTTCACCAGGCACTCTACATCTTCTTCACGTTCCAATGACATGCCTACCAAACCGTTTTCTTTGCGACGAGAAGCTGCCAAGCTAGGGAAGAAGCCCTTTATCTGTGTCTTTGTCAGCCATTCTTTGCAATTAAACTTGCGCTAATTCGATGGATTTCTAGATGTTCTCATATCCTTCTCGACCTGGTTTGGATCAGCGTTATAGGTAGTTTTTTCGCCAATTTAAAATCTTGCTGTCAGATAATCCTTGATCTTTTGCGGAAATCGAGTGGAGCTCGTGGTCTTGTAGATTGCCCATCCCATGGTCAGAGGTGTATCGTTGACGACGGAAGATGAAGACGTTGCCAGAGATGGCTGAGGTTGAAGTTGCAAAACACTTTGTTTGAGACGCTACATCAACTGAAGCAAATTTTCCTGCCCAATCTTTTCTCACTTTATCATAAAAGCTTTCACTTGTAGCTTGGGTTCCCGTATGTTGGCCAACATTAAGGTTTGACTATAGCTCGGAGTACAATGCAAAAGCTTGGGTACATCCTGACACAGAACACTCGAAAAGTGATTCGATCGCGGTTGGTTGTTTCTTCCGTTCTGGATTCAAATCTCGTTCTTTGACCGAATCAAACCAATGCTCTTCATCATTACTCTCCTTTCAAAGCATAGTTGGACCCTGATGCTTCACATATAGCGCTTTATACGGAAAAACCTTTCCTGGCCAATACCGCAAGCTTTCCATGCCCGAATTCCTGAACTTTCAAAATGGAAGTTATGGAACGCACCGAAGTTGTCAAGTTTGTTCACTCCGACACTTTTCCTTGACTTATCAACGACGTTTACTAAGGCCGACGTCCCACTTACAGGATATTGCTTCAGAATGCTGTGCTGAGTGGTTATATTACTACCTTAAAAAATAAGCAGAAACTCGACGTTTCGAGCGAAGGCCCTTCGTCAAGAGTTAGTAGACGAAGGGCCTTCGCTCGAAACGTCGAGTTTCTGCTTATTTTTTAAGGTAGTAATATAACCACTCAGCACAGCATGTTCACATTGGTACTACCCACACTGGTACAGACAGTTTTAGTAGATATTGCTTCAAAGATTCTTTCATGTCTGATGCAGCTGTTAAAATATCATGACTCTCAGAACAGTGTTCGCGAATGGACGCCTTTAGCCGGCAAAGAATCCTGTCGCATATGTCCTTTCCATTTTGGGGCTCGGAAAAATCATAGTTTTTAGCGGTTTTTCCAAATCTGCCTTCAATATCTCTCACTGCAGCAACCAACAAGTTATTGTGATAACACCCTGCCTCATCAGATCGAAAATAGACACTTTCAAGCGAGGGGTGTTTAGCTTTCAAATGCGTTAGCAGGTGCTCAATAATTGACGCCACCGCGAACCATTCAAGTAATTTACGCACTATATTAGGCGATTTACGAAATTCTCCACAAGACGACTTTGCAAGCTCAGAGAAAGAAAAGATTGGCTCCATAACTGTAATTGAACCTTCAAATAAGTTCACTAAGGGCCTGGAAATAAATCGCAAAAGTAAACAAAACATTATTGTTAACTTTACTTCCGCTTTACATATTCCAAGCCGTTTGATGCAATTATTTTATAATTGATACGTGTTTAGAACCTTAGATAAATTTATTCTGGTTACCTGGTGTCTTTGGCCTCATTTTCCGTCAGAATCAATTAGCAAGCAAGCAAGCTCGTTGTGACCAACAAAATACATGCGAGTTCTACCGCGTTCGATGGATATGTGTATTTACAAACTTCACGCCAGTGGATAAAATTTCAGTGTATGTGACATCATCTTGGATTTAAAATCTCACACGAAGATCAGAACTCTCAACTTATGGGCTGTTATGGCTAGGTATAAGAGATTTAGTAATCGAATTACATAGTACTTTGCGACGGCCATACTCTGTCGGTTGGCACTACATTTTGAATATTTTGTGATTTGTATGCGACTGTACGTTATTTTAAAAATTTGATTCTGGTTTTCAGTTACACGTTATTTATTGTTTCCATTTATATAATTCAGGAGTTTCAGATAGGTGCCACACTTTAAATTGGCTCTTGAAGTAGTCATATTTTTTTGCGTTTAGTCGAAAACCAGTTTACATGTTGTAAGTTTATAGCTGGTTCTAAAGAATTCTCAGGCGCTTTTTCAACAATAATACATCCAAATATTCGTATTCAGCTATGCCAAATCTATAAACTGTATAAAAACTAAGGTTTTAAATTGAAATCGACTTGTTTTATAGCTACGAGAGTGTCAGTCATATTTCCTATTTTCAACTGGGATACTTGAACTTTCCTACTCCTATCTTAGTATCCATCCTGAAAATGTCAAAATCGACTTACGAATGAAATGGAACTCTTTTTCGTAATAGTTAAGGCTAAAGTAAAAAAACAACTGAGCTTATAAGAAAAATCTAATTTTGCACTGAAATTCAGTGGGTGATTTTTACAGAGACAGCCTCTTAAGGTTGGCGAGCTTATTAATTGGTGAGAAATCCATGACTTTAAACTTCATTTAGACTTTCGGCACACATGAATATTACGCCTCGAAGTGTTAAGATCCTGTCACACTATTGCTTAGATAGATAGATAAGATAGAAAGATAAACTTTATTTAAGCACACTAGTCCCATTCAACACTAAGCTGATTTCCATGAGAGGTGTGCTGGCTAATTGTTACAATTTAAAAACTAATTTATTAATACATACAAACTATTATTATATAAATCTATTAAATATTCACTTAAATAAACTACTTAATTTAATAAGGCCGAGGGCGAGGAGAAAAGGTTTTTACAAAACGAGTCATAAGATATCGAATTTCGAATATTTTCTGGTATTCTATTCCATAATTTAGCCCCACTGTAACTGAAACTTTTTTAAAAAAATTCTGTACTGGGCCTTGGAATAAAAAAAATAAAAAATACAAAGATTACAAAGATTAGCAGGCATGTAGTAAAACACTGACTACCGGAACACCGGAACACCACCGGAACACCGCCGGAACACCACCGGAACACCACCTAACCCTAACCCCAACCCTAACCCCCAACCCTAACCCTAACCCCAACCCTAACCCCCAACCCTAACCCCCAACCCTAACCCTAACCCCAAACCCTAACCCCCAAAAAATGGTGGTGTTCCGGTGTTCCGGTGGTGTTCCGGTGTTCCGGTGGTGTTCCGGTGTTCCGGTAGTCAGTGTTTTACTACATGCCATTAGCAGGCCGGTGACTATTAGATTATTACAAAGATTAGCAGGCCGGTGACTGCTAACCTCCGTATTTTTCGACCAGTTACTACTTCAAAACACTTCGAATCGACATAAATTGAATTCAATTTATTATATAAGCATCCTATGGTTCTATGGATTTATTTTTACACTGTTAAATTATCGTTTCGCAAATTTATCGTGGATTGTATTCTTGGTATAGTTCATGACATATTTACTGACGGCGTGTATTGTGGAATTTTATCTTTTTGTATTCACTGGATTGATCTATTTGGAATTTCTCTCTGTGAAATTGTGTGTTCCTAGTCTTATGTTAAAATTATACTTTATTTCATTGAAGACAACTTGAATTATCGCGTAGTATACCTTATTCTGACCGTTGGGATTTTTGAATAATTCGCGGCGTCTCAGTTACCGTGGCTACAACTAACTGTTGGTGTCTCGTCGTCATATAGCCTTGAAGTTCGTCTTGAAACCTCAATTATTCCTTCTGTCCTTACTTAGTTTTCTTTTGTTTGGCTGATCTCCGTGAATTGTCGACTAAAGTCCTTTGTTAAACAATCTACATTCAAAGTTTGTTATATTTCTCAAGCGCAATAATATTCCCGGCGAGTTTTATTGCAGTACAATCGTCTAGTACTTGACCTCAATTAACCTATACGAGACCTTTCATATCTAGACATAATGCCGAGACATATTGCCTTCTGGCTTTCTTCACTCATACTGGTATTGTTCCTTTTCATTGTCCTCAACTCGTGTAACTCATGGAACGTGGTCACTCCAGACGCCTCGCTCGTGATATCTATGGGTGCTGATATCGCAAGTTATCCAAACAGGAATTGTGGATGTCCCCGTAAATCGAACCCCCCGAATATATCACCATCCTTTAAAGTTAGAGCCGGAATTAAACTTCTAAACGCTGGTTTATGTGCTTACTCCCTTGTACTCATAGCTGGAGACGTCAGCCGAAACCCTGGACCTGCCAATATCTCTCAAGATTCGCAGAATTTTAGTGACATTGGTTTTCCAAGTAACCGTGGACTTAAAATTGCTCATCTAAATGTAAGAAGCATAACCAATAAGATAGATTCACTACGCCTTCTTTTACTAAATAATCCTTTCGATGTCCTGACCATCTCCGAAACCTGGTTAACCAAAAACATATCTGATCCTGAACTAAATATTCAAGGTTATTCTTTTATCAGAAATGACCGTAAAAGCAAAAAAGGTGGTGGGTGCATGATTTATATTCGTGATGGCTTACCCTATCGAGCACGGCCTGAATTGCAAGATGATAGTCTTGTGTCCTTGAACTCAATCGGCCGAAATGTAAAAACATGCTCATCTGGTCAATCTATCGAGCCCCTGATGCACCATTACCCAATTTCATCGATACATTAAATTCAAAGATCTCCTTACTTCCCCAGGACGTTGAACTAGTTTTACTCGGTGACTTTAACGTTGACGTCCTTGCCAAAAGAAATACTTCTAGTCACAGCCTGAAACAAAGACTTAATATTTTTGCTAGTGCAAACAATTTAAACCAACTCATCGACACTCCAACGCGGATAAACGAACTCTCATCAACTGCAATTGATCTCTTGTTTGTTAATAACAAACACCGCATTGTATCAAGTGGTGTGTTATCGGTACATATCAGCGACCACTCCCTCGTTTACTGTGTTGTCAAGGCTGGTGTAACAAAGAGTCCTGGCAGAACAATCGAATATACTTCCTACAAACATTACTCTAAAGAAGCATTTCTGAATGAGCTCAGGAACATAGACTGGAAT